TTAAGTATTAGGATACAAAATAGATTTTCTAATCTAAATAAAAATTGCTCAAAATCTAAGAAATCCTCATTAAACTTCAAAATCCAATTTTTAAGATACTAGTTCATTTGAATCTTAATTAATTTTTATTTGATTGTCTAATAAAGCTCAAATTTACAACAAACATCTACTAGAATTTAATTCATAAATTTACAAAATCTTAATAGTGGATTTGATACAAAATTTAAATAAATTATTATAATATAATTATTTTTTATTTAATTCAAAATAGAATCATTCAAAAAAATCTCATCTTTGTAAAGCTATTACAAAATTTATTTAAATTCAAATAATTTAAAACCAAAAATTATAGAAAACCTATCAAGTTTATTTTGAAATTTTAGGATTTAATAAATAAAGAAAAAGTCCTATCTTTCATAAGCTTGCAATGTTGAATTATATAAAGTCTTGCTTAAGAATGCACCAAATACTTTGCTATAGAAAGTAAATTGGAAATTGCAACAATAAGATTGTAAAAAATCTAATAGAATCCTAAATAAACTCCATTTAAAGCTTAACAATTATAATAAAACTTTATAAAAATCCAAAAAAATATTTATAAAATCATATTAAAAAATTAAAAACAAAATTATAGAAAAATTTATAAAAAATCCTTTTAAAATATTAAAAATAGAAATCATAATAAATTTTAAATAAATCCTAATTAAATTCTAATTAAATCATAATTGAATTATAATCAAATCAAAATCAAGTCTTAAATCTTAAATCAAATCCTAATAAAATTTTAATTAAACTTTAAGTTATAAATAAATTCTTAATCAAATCCTAATTAAACTTTGATGAAATCTGAAAACCTAAACCAAATTCTTAATCAATCTTATAGAAAATTAAAATATCAACTATTAATAGTTTAAAAATAGATTTTGATTCAAAATTTATACACCTTTAAATTATTTAGTTTAAAGCAAGCTTAAATAATTTGAAGAAGATTGAAGTTACCAAATAGAAGACAAATTCTATAATCAGCTCGGATATTAGCATCCTTCTTCAATCTTCATGTGAAACTCTTAGAGCCAATATCTTTTAAATTTACTATTCAATGGCTTTAAAACTTTGCTTAATTTTTTGAAATTTAAGTCTATTATTAGTATAAAAACTTTTATTTTAATCTATTTGGCAAATTGCTGCAAATCTTAGAAATCCTTGTTGATCCTCTAAACTCAAATTTTTGAGATCTCAATACTTTGTAATTTGATAACCTTCAAATGAATCATTTGATCAAGCTTAAAATTACAACATATATTAAACATAAAAATAGTTATTCAATTACAAAATTTTGCTTGTAAATCATTTATAAATCTTCCATAATTTTTTAAAGTATAAACTCTTTATATTTCTCAAAATCCATAATCACTTCAAACAAACTCTAACATTACAAAGCCTTCATAAAGTCATCACAAAATCAAACCACTCAAAAAAAAACATCTAAAGAACCTCTTTCTACAGTTGTATTATAATGTGACATCAATTTTGTGCCTCAAGGTCTAGTTTTAATCCAAGTTTATTATCAATCCTCCATAGGTAACAATCTAAGATTTATCTAAGTATTTATTATTGATTATTTTTCTTTACTTCTATCTTAAGATGCCTATAATATTATTTTTGTTAATCTACCTTATTTTACCTTATTGATGGTCCTATAAAATAAATTAAAGTCTTTTTTATAAAAAGACATTTTTGGCATTTAATAGTTTTACTACCTCTTTAATTATTATTTATACTTTTTCAGATATTTTCTATTACATATTAAAATAAGCTCATCAATAATATATTAATTTCTTTTTTCTTTCATTCAATAATTGTATTACAACACAATAATGTCACTGACTTGTAAACAAAGTTTTAAACCTATTAATTATTCACATACACTTCAAATGCCAAATATGTATCTATGAAGCTTCTAAAAAGTCTTTCCACAAGATATTAACAAATCAACTTATTTCTACTTATTTATATCTAATCTTTTTTATCTTTATTAGTGTTGGTATATCCATGATAGGATTTAGTGGTTGTATGAGACTTATATTTATTGGTCTATAGTTGTTCAATTGGAAGGTCTCTGTTTCAATTAGAAATATATATATTTTTTATTCTTTCATATTCAAATTTAGGTCCTTTTTTTCTAAATCTTATTGGTTTGATGCAATAGTCTTATACCTTATAAGTTACTTTTCTACAACATAAATATAAGTTTTTACAATAATTTATCGGTTTCTTTTTTGGTATCAAGCACTTAAACTGAATTGTATTAATTTGTGTAGGTTTTGGCCTTAATAAATTAGTTTTTAAAAAATTATGAGTTGTTGTTATGGCTTGATTTTTTCTTCTTGAAGCCTTTTAAAAAATCAACTATTGCATGGTTTATCTTAATCAATAACTTATTCCAATTAATTTTCTTTCTACATTGTAAATAATAAAACTTTAATATTATTATTTAACTTAAATTTAAATTTAAAATGACTAATAAAGACTTTATCATTCTAATCTACATTAAAAGTAAAATTTTGGAATTTAGTAATATAAATAATAGTTGATTGTAATTCTTATTTTAATTTTATTATTATTATTTTTTTCAATAACTTTTTCTAAATTTAGCCAAGAATATTTCTAATAATGAATTTAGATCATATGAGAGTTATGAATATTTTTTTTATTAAAGATACAAATTATAAAAGAATACTTTCAAATAGAAGTGCAGCTATAAATCCAAATTGAATAAAATTGCTAGAATATTTTAAAAGATGTAACTTTCAATAAAATTTAAATTATTTTAGAAATCTTCAAAAATTTTATCTTGTTTTATAAAAAAATTTAGTATATTAATCTTTATTTTTTCATACTTGTAGTAGGAAGATTTTTTGGATTTACTTGTGAAAGTTGGTTTACTTGCTTCTTTCAATTATATAACTTTTTAGTGTAGACATTGGACCTCATTATTAACTTCTTTTATAGGCATTGGAATAATACTTCTATAATTGACATTATTGATACGTGAAATTTTTGCCTTAATAGTATTAATAATCTTTTGAAAACTTGTAATAGTTGCAAATTTGTTTGTATTTCTACAAAATATACCATTCATAATTTTTTTTGAAATGCTTACTATTCAAAATTTTATTGAATAGTAAGCATTTCAAACAAATTCACAAGTTAAATTATAAGATGATAATTTATAAATTCTAATATAAAATGAATAAATTATAAAAAATAATAGTTTAATTTCTTTATAAAAATTAATATTTTCATTTCATTATTGGTACTTTAAAACCTTTAAATTACAATAATAAAAGTATAGTAATTCAATTACTTTTTAAAAAAAAAGATAATAAATTAAAACTCTCCTTAAAAAGTTAAAAACATAAATCACAATAAAAATCTAAAAATGATAATATATTCTTATATTACCAAAAAAGAGAAAGTTGAGAAATAAAAGATAGAAAAAATAAAATAAAATAAAAGTAGAATAGCTATTTTCAAATATAAAAAGATTAAGAAGTCTCAAAGCAAGATAGAACATGAGAAAGACATTGACAAGAATAAGAAAGGTTTTATTTTTACCTCCATATATACTATCTACTAAATAACTACATAGCAATGTTCTATAGATCATATAATGTGTTTCCAACTTTTGAGACACATGTTTAGTTTGTAGGGCGAGTTTGACACATGCACCAAATGACCAACTTATAATAAAAATGATCAAATATCCAACATATGGCCAAAATATTGGCAAAGTTAACAACCTATCAATTATTTATAAACATGTATAAAATATACAAAGCTTTTACAAAGCTTCTCAATAAGATATCAATAATTTAACCTAATTTTGCTTACTTCTACCTTATTCTACTTATCTAAGTAAGTATATTAGTGAATAGGATTATTTCTTACATCCTACAAAGTCAAACATGATAACTTGTAATATATGATATTAGTATTATATAAAATAATATGATATGAAATAGTTAAAAAAAATAAAATAAAAAGAAATTAAATCTACCTTCTTCCTTCTTCCTTGCTTACATAAACTTACATATCAATAACATGCATTTAAATAACAAAATGCAATGGATATTTAAAAAAAAAAAAAAAAAAAAAAAAAAAAACTTACATGGAATAAGAGTAAGAGTTGTTGTTCTTATTAGTTCTTCTATTGAAAAAAAAAAAACAAAAACAAAAACAAAAACAAACAAACAAACAAACAAACAAACAAACAAATAATATATGTATAAATACACACACATATACATATGTATAAATACACACACATATACATATGTATAAATACACACACATATACATATGTATCCTTCAATTGCAATACATATTTTATTAAATTTTTATATTTTACTAAAAATAAAATTACTAATTAAGAAGAAATAGAAGTTTAGATAGGACCCATAATCTCTAGGCTCACTCTTCATCTCCTAATTAAATATTCTCCAACAAATAATCTCCATCTTCCTTGTATTTCACTAGGTTCCTACATTCTCTAATAGATTCTATATTGGTGCTTTCTTAATAACTTTCCTATTCTCCTACCATTTTTTTTCCGAGTTATTCTTCTTCTCTAGTATCTCCTGAAGTGGATTAAAAAGAAGACTGAACTTGTGATTGTCGAAGAGGGCATGTTTTTGTGGACCACAAACTGTTCCATCCGACTGGGCAACATTCGTTATAGTCCCCACCTGGCAGCTCCTTCTGCTCACCACAGTGCAGGAGATGCTCCTACGTCGTGGCATGTTTGTATTTCCCATTCGTACATGTACGTACCCATTTGTATCTATTTCAGTGTGTACATACGTAGACGAAAGCGGGAGAGTGGTATGTTCGGTGGGGAATTTTGAAAGCGCGGGGGGGGGGGGTGGGGTGGGCTTGGGAGGGACTCCAGCATGGGGGAAGGGTCGCCGCGTGGCCTGCTTGCAAGGCGGCGTGGGGGTGGACGTGGGACTGGACTCGGGGGAGAGTCGAAGGAAGGAAGAGTTGCGTCGGCGAGTGTCGATGTCTGTCACGATCGTCGCTGCTGCTGCTGATCCGAAGTTCCTCTACCTCCTCGTCCTCCTCGTCGACGACGATGATGTTGTTGCAGTGATTGATTCGCGGATCTCTCACCTGGTTTTAACTTTTTGTCATTTTCGCGCACTCGCGTGGGGGGGTTGCTGTTGCGGTCTTGGAAGGCGCCTCTCGCAGCGGTATCGCCTTTTCTGATTGGGGTGGGGACTCACCTACGGTTTGCGAATCAGACCATCCGATCGTCAAACAGAAAGTGAAAGCGAGGTCAAGGGGAAAGCGAAAGTTGCAAGAGTAGGTAGGATGTTGGAAGTCTGAGGAAAGTGTTGGGTTTGGAGGAGGAGGTGGTGGTGGTGGTGGTGGAGCAGAGCAGACGAGGCAGGAGTGCGCATGGATCAGTGGAGTATGGCGAGAGGTGCTGGACAGCCGCAGCAACAGCAGCAGCAAGCTGCTCATGTACCGCAGGTTGGGGGTGGGTGTATCGGTTGTCGGAGGTTTTGGAGGTTTTGGAGTTTTGGTGTAGGATGAGGAGTGTGAGAGTCGGAAGTTTGGGGTACTGTGAAAAGTGGGTCTCTATGTAAATGTGAGGGAAGGTCATGGACGTATTGGATGAAAGGGTGAAGGAGCGGTATTTAGGTATTTAGCAATGTGGTGTTTCATTGACGGGCAGATTGGTACGTTGAGAGGCGGGAGGTCGAGGGATTGAATTGGATTAAGTTCATCATGACGAGCGTAAAATTAGTCCTCTTGCTTCTCTGCCCTGCGAACTCTTGCACTGGAAGGTCTCGCTACATTCGATAGGTCAGTATTGGAACGAGCTTCGTCGAAAGGCTTGCGTTTCTTGGAGTGGACTGCATTGGTTACCTTAGCCACTGTAATTGCTCGTTAGGGTTTTCGTTGGCAGTTAGGGTGCTGAGCCACACCGAATTCCTAACCGCGAGTAAAAGAAAGTGTTTAGGGAGTATTTTTTAGGGTTTTCAGGTGGTTTTTGTAATTCAGGTGGCACCTCTGAACAAACCATTGCATGAGGACGTACGCTGTGATGTTATCACTGCGGTTGTGAGATCGGCTGGTCTAAACTTCCTCCGGTGCGCCTGGCAATGTCTCTATTTCAGTTTAGGGTGCAGCGATGATAGGTCGGGCTGTTTAGGTTGTAGTATGGTTGTTCTTCTAATTTTCGTACGACTTCTCTTTAAAGAAAAAGATCAATTGATTTCGTTGATATTCTCTTCGTTATCTCCCTGATTCATTTTCATCCCCTATTTGTGTTTGTACCTTCCAGTATACAAGGATATATGTGTACGTTTATTTGATCAGTTGCATCGTCTAGCTCATTTCGATCCATCGTTGTCAGGCAACCTTGTTCGGTCCTTCTAAGAGCAACGCTGGTTGGATTTTATTTCTTATTAATAAAGTTCGTCATGGCACCCGAGATGGACAATTTAGCTCAAAAACTGAAAGAGTGTAAACTTATTAGTTTTGTCGTTTCATTACTGTATATTTTTGAGTCTTATTAAGTATCGTAAAATTTCGAGGTTATATTATCAGCATTGTTGACCAAACAGGTCAACCTGGGTGGACTAGTGGTCTGGCTTTCAATATTCGAGTTGCTTTGTTTTGCTAGAAATTGGTAGAGCTTATTGTTTTGTTATATTATAATCCTGCGCAATCTCGTTGAATCAAATTTTTTCGTGTTTTTTGTTTGTTTGTTTGTTTTTTTTGTTTGTTTTTTGGTTCGTGCTGCAGCAAGGGGTTGCTTCGCAGTATTCTTATTCAGCTGGCTCATATTCGGGACAACAAGCAGGTGCTCCAGCCTCTACAGCAAGTGCGGCATATGGGCAACCACAAGCGTACGCCCAACAAGGTTATAGCCAGCAAGCCTACCAGGTAGGGGATTCATTCTGATTGATGTCCCGTTTATTTACATATGTGTCTCTTCAAAGTTTTGTAGTGCATATTGATTTTTAATTATTTTAAATGAACGTAATAACTCATTACTAGAATGTAATAACCCATTCTACATGTTTGTCATTGCCAAGGTAAATAACATGGTCTTCTGTGCAGTCTATCTTTATAAACTTTTAGGAACCTGTTCTGCATCGTTAGATGTGTTTTCACCATTGAACCAATATTTTTTGCTACTCACTGTTTGATTATTTTACGACTTACGACGATACATCATCACAGTATACACGACCTCAGACATTTAATTTCCGCTGAATGATTTAACCATCATTCAACTGGATGGCTTTTTATTTACTTATTTATTTGATCGACTATGTTGATATTTTATGTTTACTCATTGGTCTGTGTAACATTGTTTCAGCAACCAACCGCAGCATCCGCCCAAGTAGGTTACGCAAACACTGCCACGTATGGTGCTCCTGCCACAACTGCTCAACAGTCGGCGCAGCAGCAGCAGGTGGCCTGGTCGCAACAGGCCGCTGCTCAGGGTGCCCAACAGGCTGATGCTCAGCAGGGTGTGTATGGCCGTGTTTCTACCGGTGTGGCATCGGTGCCTGCTAGTGGTGGATCAATAAATGTAGCTAGTCAATATGGGGGTCAGTATGGAGCTGTTTATGTTGGTCGTCAGGGCGGTAGCCAGCAGGTGAGATTGACAATTACTTGCATTTCAATAGTAAAATGGAAAACTTGAACTTTGAAGAAGTGGGGTTATGTAAGTTTCAACGCTTAAGCCCTCATTCACCCGGTTTATATTCACTTTGACAAGTTATCGACTTCTGGCTAATTGCTGGCCGCCAATTGCTGGAGTCAGATTTTATTACTTGTAAGATGAGTCTTACAGATGATCATTTTCAGGTACTAGGGGCAAGCGGTCGATCTGCTGAGGATTATCAACCGCAGAGTGCCGGCACCCGCGGCTCAACGGCGTATGGTGCACCTCAAGATAGCAGAGCTACCTTAGGCAGCGGCGCTTCCTCCGTGGTCGGAGGTGTACCATCTGTAAATGCATCTGGTGTGTACGGTGCTACTCATCATACAAAATACACTGAAGTATCCAAGTATAAAGAGGCTCCTAAATATGGCGATATTGCTAAGTACGGTGACAATGCTAAATACGCTGGCAGTGCTTCAACGGCAGACTATGCTGGGAAAGCTAATGAGTATGGGGGAGCTACTTCACCTACGGGCTACAGTCAGAAGACGACAGCGGACCAATATGCCGTCAGCTATAACATAAAGCCCGCTGATTACGGAATGGCAGAAAGGAGTCATTATGGACAAGGACAGAATATTTACGGACAAGCTGATTCCCGGGCGGACTCTGTTCGCGGCTATCAAGATTCTCATGCAGTAACCGCTAGTTCTATCCAGCAAAGACAGGTAAGCATCGTGTTTAGCTAAAAGCAATTTTCAAGGAAAAGGTCATCTACTGATTAATGTTAAGTCATCTAACGTTCTTCAAAGTGGTGTAGGCAGAAAAATTACGAATTGCTTAATTCGTAAAACTTAGTTGAGCGTGTAAGAGGACAGAGCTGTTAATACTCAATGATCTTGAAATGAGACTCATGATTCACGATTTACGAAGATTTGAGAATTTGTCTCCTCCTCCTCCTTCTCTCTCTCTCTCTCTCTCTCTCTTTTTGTCTCCCTCCCTCGCAGCTGAAATATTGCTCTGATTAATTATAGAGTCAGCTTCTTCTACAGCAGCAAGCTCTCCAGGCTCAGCAACTGCAAGCTTCCATAGCCAATCGCGGAACTGCGACCTCTCCCTTGGAGGGTGCCACACGGTCAGTGAGGGCTCCAGTCTCAGCTAATTTTAACGATTGTTTTGGGGTTCCACTGTTTGAAATTATCGTACTCCATTGCGAGAAGATGGTTGTTCAGGGGATTCTTTTTGCTCAAAATGTTGAAAGATATGAAGAAATATTGCAGTCTGGTTTTTATTCCTCATGTTTTCACTGGTTTTATTCGGGAAGCATTTGGTGATTTTAGTTTCAGAGCATTTATCGCTGAAACTGCCTCTGGTTGTAACAATGGAAGGATAATAATTGTTTGTATAGATTCTCGTCTTCCTTAACGAGTTTCAAACTATCCAGGGCTCAAGGAGATTATATTGGAAGAGGGACTGCTGTACGAGCAGGTGGTGCGCAGGATTATGGTGGTAACTCTAGGGGAATGTTAGGCGGAAACTACGGAGCCAATCGTGCCGAAGCGGAATTGGTAGCGCAATATGGAGGCGCAGGAGGAGGACGGAGCGCAGCAGCTGATCCAAGGCTTAGCGCTGGCAGTGGTGCTGGCTACGTAAGCAACCAACAAGCTTCAGTTTATGGAGGCATGAGTGGTGGGCGGGGTCCTGGCGGAGGTACTGCATCTGCCCATAACTATCACTCTTGTTTATTGTGCAACCCAATAATCTGTTTCTGCTTACATATCACGCTTGCCAGTAAATTTCCTGTGCTTTTCTTATAATCTCGTGATTCAGCAATTTTCTGCAGTTTCTTGAACACCATAACAAGCTAGTAATTAGGTTCTCTTGTTAGGCCGATATACTCTCGACCACTATTTGAGCTCCTCTTTTGAATTGTGCTATTTCTTTACAGAATCCCAGGGAGGCATTGGGAAATGTCACACTTCATATTTTTTTTTTGACAAAATGTAAGGGTGGATTGGCAGGACAAATATATGGTGCTCATAATGTACCTGCGATGGGTTATGGTGGAGTGCAGCTACCTCCAGGACGTGATTACAGTGCTGGACGTGGAACTGGTGGAGGGGGGTTCCCTGTTCAGAGAGAGAGCAGCTATAGTGGTGGTCGCCCTGAACGGCCGAGTATCGGAAGCAGTCGTAATGACGATCGCCTTGATCCACGACCTCCATTTCGGTCTGGAGGCGGAGATCGACGCTACGATGATGCCAATCGTCGTCACAGCAGGGATAGTATGACCAGAGATAGCATTAACAGGGATAGTAACAGCAGAGATAGAGGACGGAGCAACAACAGAATGCTAGTGAGTGGTGGTAGAGGCTCATCTGGAGGTGGTGGTCCCTACGATCGTGATGATCGGGAGAGAGGACGAGACCGGGATAGGGACAGGAAAGACGATGACAGGAAGAGAGATCGTAGTCCTGGTCAACGGGCCTCTCATGACCGCAAAATGTCTCCATCTGGTGACCGAGATGATCGGAATCGTAAAGAGTCACCACGGCGAGGTACCTCCTACAGGTGAATATATGCTTCTTAACTGCCTAATATCTGACCTGATCAACATGGTATTATGTATCGATTTTTTGACTTGACAGTAGATTACTCATATAGATGTTGATTGTGTACTTTCATTATAGTAATGTGAAGTACGCAGGGTTGTATCTCGATCTGTTAGACTTACTAGTTTATTTTTGCAGGCATGCATCTCCTTCAAAGGAGAAAAGGAGGGAGTATGTTTGCAAGGTGAGTAATTTAATTTCTAGGTTCTCTAATATCCATGACAGTTTATGGAAAAAAGTGGTTATTCTCGTCTGATTGAACGTGTTTGAACTTGATAGACAGTTTGTTAGTGACTTAGTAGATGCGAAATGCTGACTTTCTAGAGTTGGTGTTGGTTGTTTGATCATAGATTGAGCCCTACAGTTTAGTGGATTTAGAAAGAGACTACGCGTCTGTTTGCAAGCGGTACGCTAAGCTCTACGTGGTGCCTGAATTCTCGAAGGTAATTACGCTTGATCAAATTAGTATTCTGAATCAGCGCAATACAGACATCCAGTTTGGTGTCTTGACGCCTGAACTTGAGCATCACGTTCCAATGATATTTCATGTTGTGCTTATCTTTCTGACATTTAAGAGACCTACTTATGCATTTCCGAAAGCATGCTTACATTGTTCCTGCGTTTTTGTTGCCACCTCTTTTGCAGCTAGTTGCCTGTTGGGTGACCAGAGACGTGGAATTGCCTATCAACGAACCAATCAGGTCTGACATTTATAACTACCTTCACTATTTCTTGGACTTTTGTTGAATGTAGTCCAATAAGTTGGATACAAATAGTCGGATGAGTGTTGCTTGATTTATGCTTACGAAATTCGGTTTGTATTTGGTTATTTGCGGAAATTCTGTTGAGGTGCACGTGCTTGCAAGCCTTGTAAGGGCACTCACTCTCTTCGTTATTTATGGAGCTATGTCTTCTCTGCCACGTCCTCAGGGACGGAAAACCCTCACAGTAGTCAAATGTGGAATAGAGGTCTATCTCGTGTTTTCATGGTCGATTCCACAGGAGATTTCACTGGTTACACGTGCCACTTATCACAGCAGATCTCTCAGTGAAGCTCAAACCTCACATGGCACTGTTGGTCTTCGTGATGTCATGACATCCTAAGGTCAATGCACCATAGAACGTCCTAGTAAATTTTCTACAAAGCAATTATTTGGTGATAACCGAAGGCTGCAACATTGGGAACAGAGAAGTGAAATACCCTACGCTCGTAACTGCAGCAAAGTAGAGTCGGGGAATCGCTGAAGCCTGTCACATCATGATAACGCATTTATTGTCAACCCCCATGGTCTTCTGTCATGACACGTACCAACCGTGGTCCTGGAATGGATTTGCCACAGCTTTGAGCACGATGCTGTAGACATAGAGGATGAGGGCGAGTCCATTAAGGAGGCCCCACCAAATATCTCCGACAAAGCATTTCCTTCTTCGGCTTCAGCAATTACTCCCTCTTCTCCTACTTCGTCTAAGCCGGCACTGCGAACTACCGTGTGGAACGCAAAGGTAAAACCGGGACAGAAGAATGAAAGTATATCTTGACAGCTACTGGATTCTGGTGCGGCTAATTCACCAGCTTCCGGTAACCACAGTCTAGGCATTTGACGATTTTATAAATGATGTGAAAGCAGATATCTTCCGCATGTTCTTGTGCATCCGTGACTCGGTTCTCAGCTCTGCTGATTCTCAGGAAATTTGACTCTCGTCATTCGCTTTGTTTACCTCAAATATCATGCGTTTGAAGAAGTGCGAATCCTCATTCAAGTCATGGAGACTAACCTTTGTTTGCTATTCTGAGGATTTGACGCTATGAGAAATTTCTGGTTTCTGGTTTCTGGTTCCAGTCTTTTGCTTTTTGTTTTCTGGATTCTGATCACATCAGAAAAGTACCTCGATTTAGCTTTGTTCTTTCAGAGCACGAGGTGACGAATGCCTGTTTGTGGTTTGAATTAGCTCTCTCAAGTCTTTCGATTTCTCCAGCATTTTCTGGGAGTCATGCTCCCTTTGACAGATTTCATCACGTCAGCTTAGAGCAGATTGGCATATTGTGGATTCATGTATAAAATCCTGTCCGACACCTTTTCTTCAACGCGATCCTCCTCTTTTAGGGTACTTAAGATCATGGTCCATTGATTGTTTTCTTTTTCACTGAATCCTTTATATTGGTGGGGATCCTCGCAGGTCATGCTGATGAGTGGGCTTAGTTCAGATGCTTACTCGGAATTTTTTTCAGATAAGAGCACAGAAGATAAGCCTGCTCACATACACAATCTGCTTAAGTTTGTAGCTTTAAGGAAGGATCGGAGTGCAATTATGGCTGCTGGTGGGCGTTGGGATGAGGAACTTGACGGGGGCGATCCAACTGATGGTGATAGTGCTTTAATCAAGACTGCTATCAGGTTGACATTTTAGTCAATAATGTCTCATAAACACTACTTTATGTGTGCCAGTGTATGTGTGATATATTCGTTGTTGACATGATATACAATTTATATGATACTTGCTATCACGTTTGAATAACTGTCTTGGTAAAGTATTTTGTTGAACTTGCGGATTGCTGGCCCATCTCAGCCATCCACATCCTAGTGAGACATTTGATTCCCAATCATGTGCTATTTCCAGGTGTACAAGAGAATATTTGCAACTGGATCTCAGTGACTGCAAGAAATGGAGTCGCATAGTCGAGGTTCCTCTATATAATCATCTCCCGTCTGTTCCAGTCACATATATCTGTTTCGGTTGAATGGTAATTTTGTTTTTTTTGCAATAGAGTTCATTCGTTGTGTTGACTGAGGCTTGGAATTTTCTACATCTAGGTTCACTATGAAAGACTAGGAGAAAATGGGCTGCCGAGTCACAAAGAGATCACAGTGATGTTTCTTCCAACAATAAGTTGTATATCTTCGGGTGAAGTGTGGCAAGCACAGTGGAAAGCAAGGCAACAAGCTAAGCTCGAATCTGACGCTGCAGCTAAGAAAACAAAGGTGAATAATGAGGTATTGAAGTTGATCTCAGAACATGAGATAATATTTCCTTGGTAACTATTTGACTTGGTATTGACAACATTCATTTAATAAGTTCAGAGTTACGTTATTTTTTTAATGTTACATGACTTTTAATTTTACAATCTTCATACTGGCAGTCTGTATTGAAAGAGCTGACTTGGGTTTCGGGGTTTTCAATGTGTTATCAGGATGCATCAGAGAAGATATCAAAAGAAGGTAGCCATCTTCTTATTGTTAATCGAAAGACATATTGGAAGTTTCGAGGGTTTATTTTTGCGAATAAGAACTAGTTGGGTTTTTGTTTTTTTTTTTGAAACGTCATTCTTCCTAAAAGAATCTTTTTTAAGTAGGAAGAATACTGAGCAGCGTTCCATCTCTTTGAGTGGATTTTCTCGAAGGTTTTGATGCTTCCTAGTTTAAATATTTAAATTTTTTGTATGACGTCCTACCCTCCATCTTGCGAAACAAAATAACAGGTGAATCAAATGGTGACAAAGAGGTAAAGGAAGTAGTGGGGGTGAATGAAGAAGAGTCCGTTTCCGAAGTAAAGACCGACAACCTTGACAAGTTGGATGAAAATCAAGATAAACCAGAGAATGACCCTGGGAAAGTTGTACCTGAAAAAAATAAGGAACTGCTTATCACTCTGGAAGAAATTCCTGCTCCTGGTCTTGTGCTCACGACCAAACGTTCCAAGTCATTCAAGGTAAACGCTCACGCCACTCCTTTCAGAAAACAAATCGTGGTTATTCGTATGTCCGACATGAGATATATATCAATCATCCATGATCAATGATTGGAAAAGTAACTCTTTTGTTAATCATAGCAAAAGCTACTTGATCTACTTGATCCAGGCGATTCAGATTCCAATACCTAGCTTCAGCAGACACACTATGCAATGAAAAGCAAATGACTGATTATCCTGGATTGTGTTTGTTACTATTGACGGAGCAGATGCGCTCTATGACTATCTCTCTTGATGGGCTGCTTGATTACGACGAAGAGGATAGAGAAGAGTGTACTTTTGAGGTGACTATTCTTGTCGTTACTACTGCTCCACGTTCAAATCAAGTGACAAGCTTCTTAGTTCTTTGTGATGCTAGCACCATAATGTGTCAATTTGGTTTTTGGAACTTGCATTTACTCGTATGTATGTGTTATCTAATGGCTTGGACTACCTGATTCCTTAAACTGAAGATGAATGACGTTTCTTGCTACTCAAGCGCAATGATAAACTTACCGGACTCCTCCTAGAGGTTGTTTGATTGTATTCGAGTCGCCGACATCTCACATAAAAAACTGGATGTCGATCAGCTCTCGTTATTTGCGGAGGTGTTGCAAGAATTGTTACAGCACAAGTTGGGAAATGTTATTCTGTCTAATTTGGAGGTACATAGCTGCACGCCATACCCAAGTATGAGTTTCTTTGAGTTTATCCGATTGCTGTAGATGGTTTTGTAGACAACTCTTTCAGCTGAATAATGATTACTGTCACTTGGCTATCTGATTACTTGTTATTAGACCATACGGGAAGAGTCCTTGGCTCGGAGGAATGAGGAGAGAAAACGGAAACAAGAGAATGAGAAAGACACGGACGCAGAAGGTTCATCCTCACAGCGGAAGCGCAGTAAATTTTCAGATAAACCTGATGTGGAAGTGAAAGTTGAGGTGGATGTGAAATTAAACCCAGAGGTAAACGTGGATGGAGAGTCTCTTAAGTTGACGGAGAAAGTGGAGGAAAATGGAACAGGCCGGGTGGAAATGGAGGATATCAAGGTGGAGTCGGACTCTGGCGACTCTCATACTGCCGCACTTGTGAGTGTAGAGAGCGTAGTGAAGGCAACAGAGGTAAATGATACTGATGACATCATAGAAGAGTTTAAAGATACAGAAATGGCAGAGCCTGCAGAAACTGCTGAAAGACTAGTCGATGTATGTTGATGAAGTCATCATTGAGTTAAGTCACTTAAATGTTCTGTATGACAAGTAGAAGCATTTTGTTGTGATCACGTCCCAGAGGGCAAATGATGTTTATTCAACCCTAATTTAAAGAACCTCACAATCCCTGAGGTTGTTCTGTGACCGATTGTTGAAATCACCTTCTTTTTTTTGCAGATTTTATTATCAGTTTGGATCTTTTTATCTTTAGAATTTACAACTGATTCCAAAATGGGTTTTGCAGGAGGAGAAACTGGAAGATCGGAAGGTGGAGAAAAAGGTTGTAGTGGACCAAGAGCTGCTGCTGGTGAGAACCTACTAATTCTTGGTGTTGACGAGTAAATGCATCCATCCTGAGTTCTACTCCATTCTTTGTAGGGCTTGTTCAATGTGAGGGTGTTGAATCTTACAACCATGCTAAATGTGGTTGGGGTTTTAGTAATTTGACTCGGTAGCCTTATCATGAGGTTTAGCTTTTAGAAAGTCAAATATGGACACTTAAATTTGGGATGATGTTGTTCATCTAAGTTTCTATGCTTTCTGTATGCAGGCGTATCGATATTTTGACAAGAGTAGAGTGGGATATCTCAAGGTTTGTTCACTTCAGTCCTCCCTCATCTGGCATTATTTGTTGCTTCTCTGAACAATTGACGGTGCGGTTTGAGTATTACTACTATTTATTTTACCTCGTCTAAGATGTTTTCTTGCTTGATATCTATTTTAATCTCATCTCCCTGAAAATGTTCTACAGTCGGATGATTTACGGCGTCTACTTCACTGCCTTGGAAAATTTCTCACACACAGAAATGTTAAGGTACAGTAATTGTCATCTTCGCCTGGGACCTTGCATGTTCATTCTGAGCCTGGGGTTAAATTTGGAGTTAGCAGGGTATTAACTGTGTATTATCAGATGATTGTTATGATCTACATACTGTAGTGTGTTTTGTTGTGTTTTAGGAGGCGCAATTACTGATGCTTCTGTAGTAGATAAAAAAAACTAACATATTTACTTATTCGGGAACGTGCAGGACATTGTCGCATGTGCAGTGTCAGAGAGCAGCAAGTCTACCCGTGACGATCGTATAATTTATCGCATCTTTACTGAAAAAGAAGTAGAAGTTGGCATGGAGGTTGTATAAGTGGACCTTTTTTGCTATGACTTCAGTCCTTTCTATAGATCTTCGCTTGTAACGCGTGTGAAGCTGTAGCGTAAGCCGTATGTGACAATTTTCTCTTCAAGTAATTACGATGATTTTCTCTGATGTATGCACTCTCGTACATCCCACCAGGTGGATAATCAGAATTCCATGCAGGAAAATATTTCTGTGCCATTTAACACTCCCTCTTTTTCTATTTTCTGTATTCCATGATTGTGGCTCATAATGTATCATGAAGCCAATGCTGACCATGTTGATGAGTTGATTGTATTACTTTCAAGTGGTAGACAAAGCATGTTCTACTCAGAGCTTAACAACCTCATCATGATATCACCCCAAAAATCTGGGCCATCTCCACCTTACCTGTTTGCTACTGCACATGAATGGCCTCCTCAGAAGTGCAAATGCTGAAGATGGGGGCTTCATGCATCCTCTGCTAGTGGCCTGCATCTAGTGATGTTTGCATGCAGGTTTTGGGGTCAATTTCCAACCAATAAACTGCACAACAATGTACTTTCTGGTAAGATGTCCCTAAAGTAGCTCACCCATGTACAATGCTCTTCTTTTTCCCATGTAGATGTTGCTTAACATCTTCAAGTTAAGTAATCCATTCTACTTCCATTTGAATCTGAAGTCAAATTGTTGATATCTTCCAATCATCTTCATTTTTGTAGAGATGTTTGGCCACTATGCTGTGCTGCATCAATAGACATTGCAAGCATGTAGTTCAGGAAAACTACAAGATATGGTCATGTTGAATTTTGGGTCATATTTTGAATACAATTTAGTTCATACTCTCAATTTGACTCAACTTTTTTGTTTTTCCAAAATGGCAAAATTGCAAATATGGGTTGGTTATAACCTCTGTGTAGTGTCAAAACACATCTTAGAACCCTCAAATGTGCTAGGTGAATGTCTCCTTCTCTTGAGAACATCAAGTTGTGTAAAAATGCATCTGCTGTGACTATGAACTTAGGCATTTGTGGTGCTTCCAAGCAAATGGAAAGATATTTCCCTCTCAATTTCTGGTGTACTGAGCAGCTGAAGTACAGAGGCTTATACAAATGTACAGCAAATTAAAGGACACTTCATTGTTGTCATGTGCATGTGATATCTCAATCCAAATTTCTTGGTGTTTTGTCCATTTCTCCCTTACAATTCAAAAATCTAGGTCAAGTAATAAAATATAAAAAAAAATAAAAACATGATCCAAAAAACAGCAAGACCCTCTCCACATGAACTGCAACACAGAATGTGGTCAGACCATGTGCTTGAAGCAAACATGCCCAGTGTCACACCACATAATCATCAACAAATCTATGTATTAACTCTATCGTTGTCAACAAGTTGACAGAAAACCTCTCCATCACAAACCCATTCTGCATCAAATTCATGTTTCACCACTCTACAGAAAATGTGATAAGTTCCAAATCCAAGGTAGAATTGTTGTGTAAGTTGAAGTTCACCTCTCTCTCTCTCTCTCTCTCTAAAGCAGGGTCATGACAAGGAGAGCAATGAAATGAGCAGAAAAAAGGGGGGAAAAACAAACAACCTATGAGAGCAGCCAAACAACAGCCTAATCAGCCAGTTTTTATTTTTATTGTTCTTTTTTGTATGAATTTCCATCCAGAAGGGGAGGAGGGGGATATCTGTTTGTTGTTACAAGTGGTGGCTGTGGCTGCAGCTGCAAGATTTGTGTGCAGGTGGTTGGCTTGAACACATTGAGGTGATGAGAGATTGGAAGCTACCATTGGGAAGCATCAGCAGTGCCACTGATGATGCACACATTTACATACTTACATAGAAACACACACAAACACACACATACATACATACACACACACACACACTCACAACTGATGGGGAAAGCTTGTGACCTGTCTGACCCTAAAGCCTGGTGGCAGGTCACAGAGACCAGGGCAGGTCATGAGCTGATGGGCCTTCCTTCACCACTACTGCCACCACCATCACCACCACCACTGCTTACACATTCATTGATGGAGAAGTGTAAGGAAAGGGGGGAAGTCCAAGAGCAGGGGGCAGAGGCAGAGGCAGAGGAAGGGGCAAATGGTGAGGTTTGGACCCATTAACTTAGAGCTACTACACTGGATGGATTTGGCTCTCTTGGGAAGCAAGAGATATATATATATATATATATATGTACCATCCCTTCTGTTGCTATTGATTTTTTTTTCTCCCCTTTGGCAGGTACAGCACTATACTTGGATGCGATTGATTTTAACATGTGACAGCTTCATATTGTCTTTTTAATATAATATATTCATGATTCCCATTGTGGAAATTGGCTCGGATGGCACCATGGTTGGTTGGTTGGGACAGGCTTGGCTTCAAGCAACTGTGGGCTTTGTTGGGTGGCCCTCCATCAAGGCTTGGGGCGAAAAACTAAAAACAAAAATAAAACTAAATACATTATAAAAACCAAGGTAACATGTAGCTATGGGTTGATTTGGACTGGCTTGATTCTGTTACTCCTACCACTGCTGACTGGACGTTTGTTTGATAAAAACAGCTGCTGACTTGGCTTAGCCTTTTTGCAAGGGTCTAGATCTGTTGCTTAATGGTTCACAATCACCACCAGTTTTGTGCTGAAACTAGCCTCCACTCAAACCCTAAAAAGGTGAAGGGTCAAAGATCGGCACACTCCAGGTTGTGGGCAGTTAGTTGCTGCACCTCTGGAGGTTGAAATTTGGTGCTGTTCTAATTTCAACACTCAATTTCAATATGCCCAAATTCATTCTCAAAGTCAATCTGGTAGAGGTCATGTTTTAAATAAATAATCAAATGAAATCCTACACTGTATGCCAAAGCTCTACTAAGAGTTCTTTTTATTATATTTATTCACATGCATAATATTTTTAACTCGCAAATTTCAAGTATACGATGGTTTAATGTGCATTTTTATTTTTTCTTGTTTGTAAGAAATACAGGTTTTGGCAAATGGCTCAAGTTCATTGTTGTCTTTTTGGAATTTATTAATGTGCACCAAGTATGGGACTTGAAATAAAGTATGTCTATCAATAACATATCACCTTTGCCATTGGTCTGTATTTATTTTCAATCCATTATTGATTTCCTCAATAGTTAAATGTCTTCAAATAAAAAGTTAAAATTAATTTCATTTCTTTTAAATGTTTTACTGTTTACATGTAGATTTATTTATTTTTGATAAAAGAATGAAGTTCTAGTAACAATTACTTAACATACGGGTCTTCTATAGTTGTTTTGATCCTATTGGTAATGACTGCATGCTTTTGCATTTTAAGACAAAAGAAAATTCCAAAGCAGCAAGAGATGAAGTGATAATCCTTATATATGAAAGGAAATTGGATATAATACAAGGTCTTCTTTGATTAGAGGGTTATAAATAATTTTTCATAATAGCAGCTTTGGTCTAATAAACTGTTTTTGTAAAGCTCATTTTTTTTTTTTTTTTTTTTTTTTAATTTGATACAAATATTGTGTTCACATAATCAACATATAGTAATGTTGATTTTAGACAAAGATAATGATGCATTTCACCTTGTGTTACCAACATCTCCAACCACTTGCTCATACTTGTATTTTTTCTGAGAAAAAAATATTTTTTGCAGAATTTATGCTGACAATCCAATTGCTTATAAGAATTTATAAATAAAATAAGAATAAAATGAAAGAAAGTTACTAACTTGGGAACAATCAATACAAGTGAATTTTATTGGAAGTCTTCACAGACTATGAAAGAGTGTCCAAAATCCAAAAACAAATGCTTAATAAACACATCTTCAAGGTTTATCCATGTTGCAATATTGGTAATCTAAACAAAATATATAAGTACTGGTTATTAAAATTGAACGCAAATTAGTGTCAGAGACATTGAATGATAGAAATTATTGTTAACATAATTGTTAATGCAGTTTGTACTGGATTCCTTTGTCAAATGCAAAAAAATGCTCTTTGATATTATATTGGTTAGAAATATACTTAAAAACTTTATGTTGATTCACTTCTTGAATTATTTTTACAATACAATTACAACTCTTGTAGAAAGATGTCTCTGACCAAACTTTAAATTATTTTATTTTATTTTCAATTTTTGTGCTTGGATAATGAGCTACAAACTATGTAATTTTAAGAACTATGTAAAATCTAAAGGTAGTTCCGATTAATCAATTAATCTTTGGAAAAAAAAATTAAATTCTAAAAGAAATATTAAGTTGAGTTTATATTTTAGAAGGTTCTAGCTCTTATCAGTATAAATTTGATATAGTATTTACAAAAATGTTCTTATATATATATATATATATATATATATATATATAGATACCAAAACAAATTAAATTTTGATGTTTCTAAGATATAATTAAATTCTTTAGAATTTTTATAATCCCACTCACACAAAGACATGTCTGATAAGTGATCCTAAGGTTTTTTTAACATGGGTATAATTAAGAGTAATTGATCTACTAAAAATAGGATTAATAATCCTTTAACAGAATCTTTACTTTTATTTTGAAAAATTTATTTGGTAAAACTCATCTATATTCAAAATTATTTTTTATTTAATTATTTTATTTTATTGTTTTTATTGAATATTATTTTCTGTAACATGTTCTGAAAAACTTTTGCATATAAACGAAACAAGTCACAGTCCTTCTATAATTCACTTAATTTTAACATCTCTATAATATACAACAATAGAATCTATATATATATAATTCAAACTTATTTTCAAATCATTTTATTTAAGATGATTATTTGTAACCTAATATTTTATTCTATTTCAAATAAAATATCAAAATGATAACAATAATAATACTTGAAAGTACAAAATAATTCTTTGTTGAATATTTAAGACATTTTAAAAAGTTTTGTATGTTATGGTTATTTTTTGATTTATTTGCATGTGTAAATTGCTTATTTTTTTTCTATTTTTATTTTTTATGTCATATTAATGGAAAATAATTGTGTGATTCTTGGCTATATTGTTTGCAATGCTCTTCATTATAATAGCAATGTAAGTTATCACTTGTAATTGCAGAAGTTGCAAGTCATATCCGTTATGGCATCAACATTGGTGGAGCCAATAGAATTAAATCAAAAATATTTATTGACATAAATTTTTCATGCTCATATAGAAATACTTTTTAAAATTGGTACATAAGATTTAAAATTTTAAAAATT